CTTCCGCCTTAATATTCTTCTCATGCAACTGCTGCTATCAACGTTGCTGACGAAAGCCTCTGCCAACACTAACAGTACAGTCCACGAGACACCCTGTCCTCGGCGATAACCGCTTTCATATGGCAACGCTGAAGCTGCACTGCGGTCCACAGCACAGCACACTCAGGGTCCGGTACACAGTACACTTAGCACCCCATAAACAGTACACCTAATGTCCGAGACACAGTACGCTTAGTGCTCGACACACGGTACGAATGTTGGACAAGCAAGCCAAGAATGAACGGATAAACCAAAGCACCAATTTCTACAAATTCCTCAGATTCTGAAAGTCTGGGTTGCTGAAAACAGAAGATACAACCTGAAACATATACTGATACAAAAATGAACGCTTTTTAGACCCTGCGAGATCAAGTAAGGACACACTCTCCTTTGTAACTCCAAGAAGAGGTCCTGCATGATAAGCAAAGTGAAGAAACTGCACTCTGCACAAATGCCCACACCTGTGGGGGTAGGTGTATGTATTTTGATTTATTACACATTTGCATTTATAGGTGCATAAATCCACATCTTCTCAGAATACATTCAAGCTTTGACAAGTCTCTGCTCTCAATGTTGACGTCTTAACATCTGTGAATAATTGTTAAGATCATCTCAAAAAAGATTTCTTAATCAAAAATCTTCCATCTTTTTTTTTTTTTCTAAAAACAATGGAGTAGCAGCCAACTCAAACCTTTCTTTTATGTTGGGGCCACGTAAACTCCCTGGTGATCTCTTATTTGGAAATACGTTGAGAAAAACCAACAAGGGGGAGGGGAAAGAGGAGGTAAAAAGAACTGGGTAACAGCGTCACGGCACTGTAGCCATGCACTCTGGGCAGCTGAAATGTCATCTACCTTCTACTGTTTCCTTCCTGCAGACAGTAGAGTCAGGGAAGAAATGAGAAGTGACTAGCAAAATAGCCGTTCTTCCCTTTGGAGAACGTGTGACTACCCTTGTTCATCATTATTTCCACATCCCACGTCCGAATTGAGAATGACGGGTAAAAGTTAACTGAGCCCCAGAGGAAGCAGCTTCTCAAGGAAGATTTAGGTCCGCCTTCTTCAGACTTATGACTGAAGGACAAATTACCCTGCAAGACTTAAAAACACTCGAAGAGAGTTCACAGAACGTGAATGTGGTCCCCTGATCAGCGAGAAGCAATGAGGCAATATGGTGAAGTAACCAGGCCAGTGCTTAGCTAGGCACATGGGATTCGAAAGGCTAAAAGGCAGACACTGACCTCCAAGGCTTAGCCTCAAGCAGACCAAGAAGAGCAAGAGCCTGGCTGATAGAGTCATGTTTAAAAACACAACCCACGCACCTATGCTCAGAGCCTAAAACGGAGGCAACTCAGGTGTGTCCCAAGACGTGTGTGTGGATAACAAAATGTGGCCCACAATCACATGGGTTATCAGTCCGGCTTAACCGGGGAGGAATCACACACGCCACAGCATGGATGAACCCTGAGAACATGGTTCTCCACTGAACAAGTTGACCATAGATGAACCAAGGCACTATGATGCTGCTTAGATGAGCCATCTGGAAGAAACAGAATCCTGGAGACAAACTGCCATGGCAGTGGCTGGGAGCTAAGGCGGGGCTGGTGAGGAACAGGTGTGCAGTGTCTGTTCTGTAGGATAATCACAAAGCACTGAACTTTGTACTTGAAAATAGTTACGATGGCAAAGTTTACTTTGCACATCTTTTACCCCAGTTTTGTTTGTTCTTTAGTTTGCTTTTGTTTGTTTTTTAAGGAAAACAACATACGGTAAACATGCAGCCAACAGGAGCCAAGGTTGCACAGTAGCAGCTGAGAAGCCGCAGTCACTGGGGAACCAATTCAGCTCAAGCTCGACAACTTCAGAACAACAAAACAGAGTCAGGGGACGAGGCGGGACCAGGAGCAGGGGCACAGAACAAGGGGAGCAGACACAGGCCAGGTTACCACCCAGCTTGCTTCCTGGGCTTCAGAAACAACTGGGGGTACAAAGAGGGAGAGGACCCGAATCCCAAGCTCTGCTCCTCTGTCCACTGTCCTGAAGCACTCATCTTCACGGCGAGTGGGACCGAAGGCAGCAGGAGGAGACCAGTCATCTCCCATCCATCGCTCGTGAATGGGGACCATGAGGACATCAAGACACACCTCGTAGGCACGTGTGCACACCACACCCTACTGGGATGCTGGCCTCCAGGACGCAGTGTGTGTGAGGAGCCAACCTACAGGCTTCATTGATTCTGACTGGAAATGTGCTCAGTGCAGCAGAGCTGCATCGCCAGAAGCATCAGTATTCAGCGATGTGAACACACCATCAGGTGTTGGTGTTATGGTGCCCTGCCCTAGCGCTAGAACTGCGAAATAGAAATCAGCACTGTGAGGGATACACGCAGGACCCCACGCTAGTCAAACCACCTTCAACCCTGGCTCCTCTGAGGAAGCCAGGCGATCACCAAGCACACAGACCCACATACCTGCAGAAAATCCTTCCCTAACCCCAAGGACCAAAGTTGTCGTGCTCTCCCTAGGCACTTTAGAAACACAAGCCAAACTTTCTGAGTACGTATGTGCATGAATGTGTCAACGTATATGAGTACACATGTATGCACTCCAGGTAGTGCTTGCATTTCTATGTTCCTACACTCTGAGATCGTTGCCTTTAAACATAGACATACACAGCCAGAGCACACAAATCTCACTTCTGTTCTCCGGAAGTGAGATAATCCGTACACAACAGACAAGGCTTGAGCACAGTGTCATGATTACAGATCCTGTTCCCACTTTCACACATCGTGGTTGATTTTCTTGTTTTAAAAGAGAAATTTGGCTTTGGTTTCCACTCTGCTGAAGTCATTCCTCAAAAGCTACTTCTGACCATCAGCAGATCATCCTCTCTACCCCTCTAGCCCTTGTTCCGTCTTGGTAGACGATGAAAACATCCCAAATGCTTTTCCTAGGAACAACCGCAGCTGCGGCTGCCATTGCCAACAGCAGTACTCTTCAACTATGGTCTCCAGCCTGGGCTGTTCTGACAACAGCCTGCAGTAAGTCAGTCTACATCAGTTCACTGAGGTCCCAGACCAGCTCTCATGCACTCAAATGTTCTGTCTTTCCGAACCAAGGCTTAAGATTTCAGATCAACTGTGAATTCTTCCCTCAAATATAGTCAGCCAGGTTGGTGCAATGGTTCAACTGGCTAGTCCTCAACCTTCAAGTGTTGTGACCCTGACTCTGGATCAGCTCAGCTTTGGTCATTGTAGATCCTTGGGGAATGAACCAGCAGATGGAGGATCTTTCTGAAAATCTGCCTTTCCAATAAAAACAAATCTTAAAAAAAAAAAAAGATAATAGATCCAGTCAGCCATAACAATCCAACTGACGGGTTTTTTTTCTTAAGTGCAACTGAGCTATGGGAAAACTCTAAAGTCTAGATTTCACTCAACACATTCATCTGTAACAAACTAAAAAACTCTTCTGGAACTATCATGTCATCATCTGTCAAACGGCAGCCACGTGGTCGCGATACCTACCTTACAACAGGTGTCTGACAACCACTGAAATTGCTAAGCCATCAAGAGTAGACCAATGTCACTATTCTCATTGTGCCTGTCATTTCCTCCACCCTGTCAATGCATTCTCTCAGTTACTGATTTATCCCGTTTAGGTTTCCTTAATTATTCATTCTCCAGGGTCAACTACAAACCAGACATGATGTTCCACATTTAAGATTTATCAACAGGGTGTGGAAGAGCGTGTGAGACGTATAGTAGGCTAAGAAGCCACTGGGGGTGCTTGGGTCTAATCTGAGCTTCCGGTCTGCTGGAGCCTCGTGCTAACGCACACTCTTGGAGCTAGCAGGTGGTAATCCAAACATGGCTATCCTTGTGGGAGAGCCATATTCACCCCTGTGCTCTTGACTTTGGCCTGGTGCAGTACCTGCTATTGCTGGCATTTAGGGATGGGACCAGTGGAGAAGAACTTCTCTTTTTCCCTCCCTCCTTGCTCCATAGAATCCATTTTTCTCAAGATGAATCAGAGGAACAATACGCTTTACTTCAGGTAAATCTGACGGGGCGGCACATGGCAGAGCCTGCACACACCGATGTACCCAGGTAAGCCACCCCTTTCCTACGTTTGCCCTTGTTTCATTTCTTCTTTTCTGATCTTCAAGATCTTTCCCCAATGCCCCATGCGTGTCTGCCTGTGGAAATCATACGCATCCCTCACGGTCCTGATCAACCAAGTATAGAACCGCTCTGCAGGAAATGAGCGTTTGCTAAAGAAACAGAAGAGCCAAACTGTCACTCTTCCCAATCACACAGCCTCCATGTTACACCTGTGCATGCACCTGCCTCACCTGCTCTTGACCATGTTCCCTGCCCCGTAGCCTCAGAGCGCACAGCAGACACTAACACTTCACCAGGAAGTGTCAAGAAAGTAACAAGCCAGGACTAGGCTGTTCCAAGCAGCCTGATTTTCAGGTTTTGCTCCCGAACTCTACAATGATTTTTCCAGAAAATTCCATAAAGTTCAAAATATACCTTAGACATAAATTTTATACTTAACATCTTGGATCTTAACATTCAACATTTGAGTGGTTTTAGTATTTTTTAAAAACTTAGTTTAAATTCTGGTGGGGATGATTACTCTTTTCAGAATACAAAAAAAGGACACTTCAATCAATACACTGAACAACCTACAAGAGGAATTTCTTATCCCATTTTCCTAAACCGAGGATAAATCAGAAAATACAAATAGCGCTTCATTTCCTTTCAGGGTTTTCAGTATTCATTTTGAGATCAAGCTGCAAACCCCCCTCTCAGAATTTGCTGTGCAACTGGTCCTTTTACTACAAAAAATGAAGAGTGAATCAAGGTCACCACCTTGGCAGCCCAGGGAAGAAAGTCAAGAGAAAAGGTGGGAACAGGTTTCAAAGTCAAGACGCCTGCTCACTGTTCCCCGGTACCTGTGGGGAAGGCGGCCCACGGGATGGCAGGGGACGTCGTCTGGGCTTCTCCATTTCCATCACCAAACGTCTCTGCAGCCTGGAACACAAAGACAAGGTTTTCTTAGATCAGTGAAACCATGCAGCGGTCCAGTCCAGCAGCCCCTGAGCACATCACTCACCCAGACCCCTTCTGAAGACCCAGCAGTTTCTCAGTCGTCACTGCCACCAGCCACACCACTACCTACCACGCCCAGGACCAGACCTATTTATGCCAATGTTTTTCTTCCTAGGGAGGGCAACTGGTAAAAGGGGGATATGACAGTTGGGGGTGCTTTTCATTTCATACTGGGGTGCCTAGGTTTAAGTCTTGACTGGTCCTCAGGCCAGCTTCTTGCTAATGTATATGCTAGGAGATAAGAAGCAATAGCTCAGGTGGCTGGGGCTGTCGCCCCTGTGGGAGATGAGCTCTTAACTTTAACGAGGGTGAGGGTACACCTGCTCTTATCTGCTACAGCACTCTTCACCTTCTTTCCATAGCAGATGCACTCTTCTTTGCTTTCCATATCCAAATAAATTTGCATCTGAATGTACTTATACATCCTTAAACATAACACTATCTGTAGACTTTACATCTAAGAATACCCATTTGTGTAAGAAAAGGGTATTTTTTTAAACATCTACAGGTCGGCCAGCAGCAGAACTCCAGGGTTTCAGCTCCCTCTCTTCCACTCCCGATCCCAGCATTTTCACTAATCCGCTCCCTGAGATGCGGCAGGTGGCGGCTCAGGCACCTGTGGCCCTGCCACCCACAGGAGACCCAGACTGAGATCTGCTGCCTCGGGCACTGGAGGACTTTCAGGAGCTCACTAGCACAATTGCTCTCTCTTTCCCTCCACTTTCTGCTTTCCAAATACATAAAAACAGCTATTTCTTTTTAGAAAATGTTTTTAAGAGAGACTAAAGCAGGATTCCTTATCCATCTTCTTGAGTAACCTACTGGTCGAGTTTATTAGAACTCGACAATTCAGAGATTTCTCCAGCCAACATTTGGAGGTTCCACACCCTCTTGCCTGAGGAGGGTAAGCAAAGGCTAGGTTTGCAGGTAAGAGGACACTATTTTTCGTCTCTCGAGTGTGCAGGTCACAGCAGAAAAATGTCTGAGAAGGATTTCCATTCGGATTCTGTGTTGTTTGCTGGAGCGTCACATGAAGCCAGGGTAAACTTCACAACCAAAGTCAGAGACCTCCCCAAGTTGCACAGCAGCGCTTCTGCAGTGTGGGCGAACCCTGTGCAGACGGGCAGCTGGACAGACCCAGTTCGCAAAGCCCAACACCCAAGTGCAACTGCCACTCGGGGCGCCACACACTCTGCTGTGTTTCCCTGTCCAACACATCAAGCATGGTTTAAACAAAGGAGACTACGCCAGACTGTAACCTTCAAATAACTGACAACTCCCAAACAATAAGCTAAACCAGATGATATCTGAAGCATATATTCTCCCCAAAATGAAAGAAAACTTAAAGTACAAATGGTACATTTCAGTAACACAGGGAAGATTTAATTACTCCACACAATCCAGAATATTAAAAAAAAAAAAAAGCAGGAAACATGTAAATAAGCTACATGAAAATAAGTTTCAGATGAAACACAGAAAAGAGGTATGCTCATATTCCAAATACTTTCATAATGGCAGATATTAAAGAGTAACCAAAAACTATCCTAACCTAAAAACAAGTCATACCACTTATTCATGAAACTCCCACTGCTGACTGCACACTTTAATATCTTATTCACGTCATTGTACATTCCTGAATTTTCATAATTCCTTTTTATAACCAAACCCAAAGTAGGGGAAAGTTATCCTTAAAAAAATGAAATAAATTCTAAACAATCACAGCGCTCACTTGATGACGGTAGCTCCAAGGCTTCCGCCCCAGCGCCGTGACTCCTAAGCCAGAGATTTTCCTGCAAGACTATACTGGCTCTATAAAAATAACTGGGTTATAAAATATTTCAATAAAATGAACACACACTGAAAAGGATTAAGGACAAGACACTGCTGCTTCTGCTAACAATTTCCACTTAAAAAAAGTCTCCAACCCAAACCTGGGAGGATGGTCTAACAACACACACACTAATTAGCTTTCCACGCCACCGAAAAGCTGTGTGCCCGATGTTCTAAGTTAACTCATTACAGGTGTAAACATGCAAATTTGTGACAGCATCCTAAATACACATGCCTCATCTCCCAAGTATTTCTGAGCACAGATCCCAGGGAAATCATCTACTGATGGATTTTGAAGCCTCTTCCTCGTTGCTTCCGCTGGTAGCAGTTCATCACCTCCATCTCCATCATCCCCATGGCACGACCAAACCCATCGGCCGCAACACATCAGTTTCCACTTCCAGAGGGGACATTTTTAACTTCATCCTCCATTTCTTCTGTTTTTATGATTATTCAGGGCCATAGTCAACATGAGCAAGAAAAGACTATAAATGTCAACAAAAAGTAACGCTCTTTCAAAAATAGTTGATTATAAACCCCACGAAATTGAAACAGACGCAAAGGGTAGTGCATACCTCAAAACCACCAAAATCGTCATCATCCATTCTTCAAGCAGCACCTGAAAAATGTCCAGGGACATTAAAATAAGCTCCCCACACACAGCTGTTTACATCAACTTAAACACAGGTACACCCTGACATGTACATTAAAACTATTGCATTTAGGTTAAAAAACACACACACACTTTTAGCTATCTGTGCATGCATTTTTAGAGCAAAAAAAAAAAGGCAATTGGCTTTTACTTTCTGGCAAAATTAGCAATTTCTCTAAGTTTTTCAGCAACCATGTATTTTGCCATTTTAATGTTGAGACGCCAGGAGTGGAAAAAATATTCTTTTACATTTTAATTTGCTTTTCCCAAATTGGCGCTAGGGCTCAATTCAATAATGCTTCCTGCTTTTTGCATCTATTCCTCAGTTGTCTGGCAACACCAGCACAAACTCCAGCTCAGAACAGGACTGCGGTGAAGTTTTGGAAATCTGTCCCCCACCACAAAGGTTCTTCCCTCGGTTTCATGGCCGGGGCTGATTTAGATTTTCAAAATTGATCAGCATTTTTGAGCTGTGGCCACAACTTCTGGAGCATTCTGATATGTGTATTTTTAGCTGAAACTGCTTTGCACTTTTGGAAAAATGTGGAGCAAGTTACTAGGTTGATCAAGATAAATCAAGTCATGTATTTATGGGAGCAAGGGGATGAGAAAACACCACCCGTGCCCAGAGTCCTCTCTGCTCACCCAGGCAGAACCAAGGAAAGACTTAGGGCTTGGGGTTTTTTGGTTGTTTTATTTCATTTTTGCTCCTACAGGTATTACTAAAATGCAGGAAAACCCCATTTATATCTAGACTTCTAAAAACAAAAAATCTTACTTCACATTGAAAAAAAATCTGAGAAGATGAAATAAATAGCTTGCACTATAGGCTAATACGAACACTCATTGTGAGTTCTCACTGAGGACGCAAAGATGTGACACCTGCAGTGGCCAGTGAGTAACTGCCAGGGTTACCCTGGTCCAGAAGAACCGATTTCCTCCTCTTTCATGGGTGAACAAGGTCATCCATGGACCTCACTATGGGAAAACAATCCTCTCTCGCTTCTACAACGCAGCTGTGGAAAGTAAACGTTAGCTTAGAACATCATCCTAAAGGTAAGCCTGTTGGCCAAGAGTGGTCACCTTTGTACAGCCACACTCTTCCTTCCCATTGAAATGAGTACAGACGCCTTCCTAAAGTGAAATAAATAATAAATGTATTTTCAAAGGACCAAGTAGGTAATGACACCAAAAAAAAAACAAAAAAAAAAAACTCATGCAGACAGATATAAAAAGAAAGAGCATTAAATCAACCCAGCATACAACAAAATATTGTCATCGTTGCCCACAACTTAAGAATGGGATGAATTTTTAAAAATGTCTTTCTCCAAAAATTAAAGTTAATCAAGTCATCCACATGCAGCACTTAAAAACAACAACAACACACAAACCAGACTTTCTGAACCTTCTGATGGTGGTTAGCTGGAAATGGAATTCACATTAATTTTGTGTTGCAAGTGAAGAGAAATCTGTATGTGATTACACTTTTCATGAAGTTTTGAAAGGAGAATGATACGCATACTGAGAATTAACCAAGTCACACTATAAACACCACATTTGTATTTTCCACATGTATCCCACGAATCTCGAGAGACAATTAAAAAATATTTTTAGCGTCTGTAAACGCTGTACTCAAGTCATATGGTTTCAAAAGAATGGAATTTTTAGAGTAATGCTTCTGTGTGTTTTCACATGACACCTCCCAATAAACGATCTGCAAGGTTCCAGAAAATGTCAAGACAGAAACCAACACCAGGCCTGACAATCCTGCCTAGTACTCGCCTGGGGAAACGAGCCCAGCGCCATCGCTGAGCTAGCCCGACAGTGACCACGGACACTCTGCACACCCCAGGGACTTCTGCATGGGGAAAAGCAGGAGACAGCCTTCCTCAGCTGCACTTTCAAAGAAATATTAACACATTTAAGCAAGTAAATGCCTTGAGCTACTTACATTTCAATACTAGAGGAAACAGCATGATTTTACAGCAAACATCTTTCCGCCAAATAAAATCTTAAATTGAATAGTAGCAGGAAATAAAACCCACCTCAATGAGACATAGAAAGAATTCAATCTTTTCAAAATAAAAACGTTAAAAATTAGCTTTTACCAGGAATTAAGGTGAGCCTAGCCTCTTTTATAGATCTGTCTACAGCAATGCATTTAAAATACAAGGTTCCCTACAGAGTATTCCTCTAAAATTATTTAGAATATTTCAAACATTCCCATTATATTCCGTGAAAATGCAGTAGAAATATATGAATACCAGGCCTGGCATCATGGCTCAATTGGCTAATCCTCCCCTTGCAAGTGTTGGGATCCCACATGGGTGCTCGTTCATTTCCAGCTGCTCCACTTCCCTTCCAGCTCCCTAACTATAGCCTAGGAAGGCAGTGGAAGATTGCCCAAAGCCTTGGAACCCTGTGCCCACATGGGAGACCCAGCAGAAGCTCCTGGGTCCTGGCTCCAGGTCGGCTCAACTCCAGTCCAATGGGGAATCTTTCTCTCTGACTCTCCGTCTCTCTGCGAATCTCCCTTTCCAATAGAAACAGATGAATCTTAGAAAAAAAGAGAAAAGAAAAATGCATGAACACCAATCGTACCTGCGATCCAAGTTACACAAACATGAAACTGATAAAAAAAAAAAAAATCACAGACCACAAAATTTGTTCTCTTGAATCATGGCACTTGGCTATGGTACGAACCCCACAGAAAGGCTGACACCTACGTCTAACAGCTCTCAGGTGCCTTTAGGTCTCAAGTTAATCTTTGTGTTTTATTTTTTCAATTCTCTACTTTCCTGTCCTCAATAGTACTGACAGTGTCAAAATGCAAGAAAGATAAATGACACATCACGCAACAAACTTCCACTCAGTTCACATTCCGGAGTGAAGAGACAGGCCAGGTAGTAAGAAAAGCACGCACATCAGCAACAGGACAATGAGAAGAGCCTGAAGGACAAAACAACGCCGCCCCCCAACCCGGGAAGCAGGGAATGACCAGGGCTACACCCCCTAGGAGCACCCTACAGTGCCTCAGGGAGAAGCAAGCACCAGAGGCAGGCAATTTCAGGCCCTGGAAATCTGAAATGACTTGTCACAAACTTAGGTTTCACGCATGCCTCCACCCAAAAGCCTTCTTCCAACAAGACAACAAAAATTTGCTTTGGTTATCTGTTGCTATATACAAACAGGATCAAAGAGTAGGTGACAAGGCCAAAGTCCAAGAAACGCCAAAGCGAAGGATCAGGAGAAGACTCATGGAGAAATCCCAGGGAGGGGAGGAAGGACCAAAGCCCCGCCCCCCAGTCCTGGGTAGAACCCCCACAACCAGCCTCGACCTGAAACTGCCCACCCAGCGATTCAGTTCCTTCTTCCTGGACTGGGGGAAACAGAGGAGAACTGCAGTGCATGACAGCAGCACAAGCAGGCCACACGGAGGTTAGACCACCAGCAGCAACCTACCTCTCAGTCACCCTAACTCCGCTCCCATCCACAGGAAACCCAGACCCCGGCCACGAAGCCTTCCATGCACCTTTACGGAACACACGTGTTAGGGAAAACTCACCCACATGCATACAATTTCCAATTAACTCCCAATTTCAGTGAGAAGTTAAGAGATGGGAGCCTGGAGGCAGGCTGCTTGGCTCCAAGTCCCAACTCTAACACCTACAGTGTTATACTGTTTAAATTATTTAAACAGGCAGCGACTCAGCTTCTGCATCCATCCGATGGGGCTGGCACTAATACCAGCACCTGAGTCCTAACAGCATCACGAGGACCAGTAATGTTAAAGCAGGTGATGCAATTATTAGGAACACCGGCTATTCTATTAGTGATTCCCTTTCCCATTTGCACAGGTTACCAAGGATGAAGAAGATTAAGAAGGAAACATGCAATATGGAGATAAAACAAAACAAAACAAACAAAAAAAAGAGGGCACGGCATGTTAGCCTAGCGGCTAAAGTTCTTGCCTTGCATGAGCCAGATGCCAGCTGCTCCACTTCCCATCCAGCTCCCTGCTTGTGGCCTGGGAAAGCAGTCGAGGACAGCCCAAAGCCTTGGGATCCCGCACCCATGAGGGAGACCCAGAAGAAGCTCCTGGCTCCTGGATTCGGATTGGCTCAGCTATGGCCTTTGCAGCCACTTGGGGAGTGAATCAGCGGATGAAAGGTCTTTCTGTCTGTCTCTTACTTCTCTCTGTAAAATGTGCCTTTCCAATAAAAATCAATAAATCTTGAAAAACGAAAACTTAGTGTGACCTAAGGGAGTAAGACAAAAAAAGACGACAACATGGGACTAAGAAGTAACAGACCCAGCTAACCTGAAAGCAAAGAGAATTCTCCCAGGAGGACAGAGCACTGAGCTCCCCTAGGCTCAAAGGGGCAGCCAGAGTGGAGAGCCGCCAGTCTGTGCTGCAGCAGATCTGAAGGGTCCTGAAGGACACACTCGGGGAAAACACCACCAACATCTGTCTCAGAAGTTTTGCCACCATGCACATCTGTCTCAGATGTTTTGCCACCATGCACATAATTTTCAGCTGGGGGAAAATTTAGGGTGGATTTTGTGATAAGAGAACCCATCAAAACCAGACAACAGTGTTGGCTAGGGAAAGGAGTCACCGGGTGCCGTATATTTCAGTTGACAATAATACTAACCAAGTCATCAGAAATGTACATACTAATTACAATATATTCCCCCTGAAAATGTAAGAGAAAGGTGAGCTTGGAGAATGAAAGATCTTTCAAATTAGAAACCAGATGGGTTCTGAAATCAAGAGTGAAAAAAGAATGCACAGCCAGTCACAGAAAGAACGAGCTGTGTGTGTTCAACATTCCGCCTCCAGAAAGTAGGAAATGCAGCCATGGGAAGCCTGGCAGGCACAGGAGACAGCACCGTGTCACAGCAAACCTTCCACAACTCGCAACTACCAAGCCACCTACCTGGTAGAGAAATCAAGGACAGCATCT